AAAAGCAGCGGCACTTTGGGAAAGTAGAGCAAAGCCAGAGTGGGAACTGAAGTCCACACAAGTTGCCAAGATTGAGAAACACGGGCTGAATATATCAACCCAGCCATTCTGGTTTAGAGTTTAGCATGCTGTTTGGTTCCAGCTTAGTCAATTAACCATGGCTAAGATCTTCCTGCTCCTTAATGCAGCTGCCCCTCTGCTCCTTCTCCAGCCCCCTGCCCCAGTTCTTTCTTTGGCATCCAATTTTGCAATGCCAACCTCCCCAGTGCAGCGATGTGGCCGACTTCACCCTCTTTGCTTCAACCCCAGGTCCACTTCCATCGGGCCAAGCAAGGGGAAGTACTCTGCACACGCTCAGAGGCTCCCAACTTCGGGGAAGCGTTCCACCCATCTTTACACTCTGCCCAGGAGGAGGAAGGCGTGCGGAAGCAGCCCAGATCGGCGGACGCGGTAGGAACCACCGCTTGGAAACTAAGCAAGCAAGCAAGCACAGGTCTCAGTCGGAAGAACCGGGCTGCAGAGGGAAGCTAGGTTCTAGGTCTGGGACAGCCCAAACTGAGCCACGCGCTTTGGAGAGCTGCAGCTGCACCCACTCGCATCCTGCACGCAAGCCCAGCTGGCTGGAGAGACGGAGGCTGGGCAGGCGCTGCGTGCTCCCTTGTTCTCCTCCGGGGAAGGGGGCCCTAACGCCAGACCACCCACCCCTTCCACTGCGTGCCTTGGGAGGGTTTTGCTTTCGGGCCTTCTGGCGTGCCTCCGCTGCTTCCACCGGAGGGCAGCCTGCAAGCTAAGGCATCCCCTTTCCACCACCTCTCACCTCTCTCCCACCCCGGCTTGGCAAGGCTCATTGCACGCGGGTTCCGCCTTTGAGGCGCCGGCTAGAGTGATGAAACAGCCAATGGGCTGTGTGGCTGGCAGTCAGTGAGCCTGCGGGGCTGGCGAGTCAAACACACCCTGGCCGCCTCTTAGTGCCCCCCTGCTGGCCCCCTTGCCTCTTAGCACCCCCCTAAGGCATCCCACCGCCCCCCAGGGGACGATACCACCCACTTTGGGAACCATGGCTATAGAGAAACAAGCACCATGAACTATTCTTTTTATTTACTCCTTTCACAGCTGCTGTATGTACTTACATGGTTGATGTGGTTGCTTTTTCTCTTCTCTCTCACTGAAAAAGGAGAAACAAGTTCAGTCAATCAATACACTGTTTTAAAAATTCTACTTTAAAATTCAACACCAGTTGACGTTTTCTCATTCTACAGATTCAACTTTGACAATATTTTTGGGATTATCTGAAAATAATTTAGGATCATAAAAAACAGTGAGGCAGCTTGTTGGATTTTTTAAAAACTATTGTATCTAGATATTAAAGGCATATCTCATGGAATAAATATCAGTCAGTTCCCCAGAACCAACTCCTTATTTTTTGTTTGTTTCTTAGATCAGGGGAAATAGCAATAATTCATTCTGTGAATTAGATCATTTACTGATTCAACCATTTATTTTACAATGGTAACATATAAAGAAAGCCAATAAATAAATAAACAATAAGCTGCACTGTTTTTATAAAGAGACTCAATGTTATAAATACTGGTTTAAAAAAGTGGAAATATGTTACATGAGCATCAAAGCTGAATGTTAATATAAAATTATCTCAGTAAATGTTAGCATGTTAGTCTGACATATAACTCAAACTAGACTGAATTTCTTTTGCCACTAGGAAGAAATGAGATGACAGAAGTAACATCTTCTGGAGGCAGTGAATCATATTTGCTAGGAATATTGTAAATGGTGCTTGATGAGAAAGTCGCTTCAATCACTGGCCAGAAGATAACCATCTTCTAGTTATTCTACTGATGGGGAGAATTGGGAATGAATTAAGAGGATTAAAAAAAACAGTCTCAGACAAACAGCTATGAGAAATGCAGTGAAGAGCAAGCAAAAATGTTGATTCAAACAACACTTTGACAGAAATGGAAATGAATTAAACGCCCACTCCATCTCCTCCCATCCTCTTTTTTAAAGGGAGCAAAAATTAGCTTACCATCTGTTTGGGATTTGCTCAAGAAAATTGTGCTTGCTCTAGGATGGTCAGATGGGTTTGACTCCAATGCTAAATCTGAAACAAATATGAAATGAGGCAGCTATTCAGAAATGACTTCCTTTTTGGAAGAATATATCAGTTAAAACCCAAATCTCACTTAAGAAGCATTACATTTTAAATCTGTTTCTAGATGATCTCAGGATGTGTTTCTTAATAAACAGTTCTAGTATTTATATGTTGATCTCACATGCGCAGAGAATTTGAACTGTATATCAGAATCATAACAATAGCTCTAAACAGCAGAGATATTAGATTTAAAGTAAACAGCATGGATAAACTAATAGAATAAATTATACTTTCCAAGGAATCTCCATTAGCTTGACATTTTAAATTTTCCATTCTGAGATAAAACAGTCAAGTGTTAAGTGCACTATCCCTTTTACTTAAATCAATGGTGTTTCCAAAAATTCAAAAAGCTGTTAAATCTATCAAAGCTACAGTAATAGGAAAATACTTAATGAACAACCACAAAATGAGTATGCCCTCACACTTACTGTTTGTCATTGCCATGATCCCACTTTTAGTGGTTTTCTAAATCTATTATGGCTGGGCAAGAGAGAGGAAGAGAGACCACTGAAAGGTTTTATTTTAGTAATAGGCCTGTGGCTCCTGTAGCAGCAATATTGGTATCGTGATAAGTGAGGCAAGCAGAGCAAAACTGGTTATGTTGCTTCATAGTAACCCATAGATTTGAATTAACACTCAGGAAGAGCTGTACCGTCCTAAATCCAAGCCACACCTCATGAGCTCATTACTCAGTTACTACAAGGCAGACATCTGCAGAGCAAGAATCCAAAATGATTTCCATTATGGGATTACTAAACACTCACATTAGCAACATCCAACAGTAAGCAACTCATACTGCCAACTAGGGGCAGTCACTAAAGCAACCAAGGGATGGTGAAGGGGCAAGTGATAATAAGGTCCAAATGTCTCAGACCTAACTGAGCAATTGGCAGCTTTGGTATAATAATAATAATAATAATAATAATAATAATAATAATAATAATAAT